AAAAAAATAAAAAAGAAACAAAACCCCCACCGATTTCCTTGATTTCATTTTTTTTACGTGCGCCTTATTTCACCACAAACCCTCACATATGATTACAAGTCCGGTAGTCTAAACACTAGGATACCAACCCCGCATAAAGTTGTGTTTTCGATTTGATTATCATGGTTTACAGTGTGCCGAAATATTGTCTTTGGTCTGCGCTGACCGGATAGAGACATCTAGTCGGTGTGTCTGGTTCGTCTTCAGACCCTCAACATCATTTTCCACATTTTGGGTTATTCGGGACTTCTGAATTTAAGATGTGTCTCCAACAAGGCCAGTGGTTAGGCTACCTGACTCGTAATCGTGAGATTGTGGGTTCAGGGGTTCGAGCCTCAGCTCGGTCCGACGTTGCGTCCTTGAGAAAGGCACTTTACACGAACTTCCCACTTGGCTCGGTCCTATCGGAGACGGACGTTAAACTGGGAGGTCCCTTTTCTTAAATAATCTAATAGTGTAGATAGGGGCGTTAAACCCGTACCATTTCACCATTTGTTTGGACCGGATATAGACATCTGGTTTGTGTGTCCGGCTCGTCTTCAGAGCATCAACACCATTGTCCACACCGTTGGGTTATTCAGGACTTCTGAATGTAAGACGTGTCTCCAACAAGGCCGAGGCAACTGCAATGATCGCTCTGAAAACTCCACAAAATAACCGAGGTTCGAGAACTCTCCTTGGGAGGGAGATTCGAACCCAAGCCCTCCTGTCTACAGCCCAGCGCTGACACCACCCGAGTTATTGTTTGTTGTGTTTGTTTGAGTAAAGAGAAGCACATCGACTCAATATTGGTCATTCAGTGCTGGGAAAAAGTAAGACAGACAGACTGAAATAACAGAGAAGGAAAGTAAATAAGTAGGACCTACCAGTGGCGCCCGCAAACCACCCTCATCCACACGAGTTAACGGAGTGTTCACATTTTTAATTTATGTATTGGGGGGAACATGTGGTTTTATGTCACCATCGACTCAACTTAGGACATTTAGGAGGCGGGTTTCTAACCCTGTTTATCATTGTCAGCCTGGGCTAAGGGGGTGGGGGGGGGCGGATATCCCAGCAGAAAAACGGTGATACTATATAATAATATAACAGCACGGGTCTGCTGTATGCGACAGTGAGGCACCTAACCAGTACACCACTGACACAGGAACACCAGGAGAGAG